ATACATTGTCTACTCGTTTTATAACGCTGCTTGCTTCTTTATGATGCGAATGACAGTAAAGGATTTAATAGGAAAACTTTTTCCAAATTGGAAAATTATATTTGTACAACACTATCAAGGCATAAGATAAGAAGCTGGCGTATATTAAAACAAAAATCATGACAACGCTGCTCCCTGCCACCACTACTACTTTAAAACATATTTCTCTATATTCTTTTTTTCTTTACTTTTTTTGATTATAATAAAGTGAGAAAAAATCGCAAAATAATATTTATTTTTCTATATTATAGTTTTGGGTAAGATTTTAGTTTTTTTTTTTGTTTTTTTCTATAAATTTATAAGACACAAACAAAATTATGTAGTTTAAACGACACAGACAGTTACAGATGAAATGCAGATTGTGACATCATGTGGAAAATAAGATTTTTCTACTTTTTGTTAGAAGTAAATGCAAAAATTTTAAATGAAATCGTTGCATTCATTTTATTGTTTCAATTGAATATTTCCAGTTTCAATTAGTATTGGTCTAGTAGGTTTGCTTGTAAAGGATTAAAAAAATAATGAAGTTTAACAGAAATGTCGTAGTTGACATTAAGTTTCAGACAATTTATGATGAACGAAAATTGATATGATATTTTTAAAAATAGGCATATCCGACGATGGGGGCTTATAAATTTATGGAGTGTAGGGTCACGATCACATCATCATAAAAGCTACGTTCACACCTATCAAACATTTGGCGAAAATAAAATTGCACCTCGGTGAAGATTTACAAGGAAAAGAATGAATGAAAAAGAATTAATGGAAGTAGAAATTGATCAGGAAATTGTCAGGATGGCTACTAATATACGTAGTCTCGTCTTGGAAACCCCCTTCAAACTCATTCTAGAGAGGCCAGATCATTCTTGTTGTCGAGCAGTAGATTAGTGATGACATCTGTACTGCAATTCAGTAACTTTTTAACGACAAAAGTTTGTCGTTAAATAGTAAAAATTCGTAAGTTAACAATAATTGTCGTTATGTGGCATTCTGAATTTTATTTCACCGATTTTTTTCGTTAAACATAATTATTAGTTAACGAAAAGTATCGGCAATGTAACGACAAATAAAAAGTTCACGTTAATAATTTTATATTTTAAAAATATTTCAATACAAAACTTTTGACTTTTCCATATTTTTCCGATCTTTGTCGTTAAAATATTCGAAGGTCGTTAAAAAGTTAGTGAATTGCAAATTCGTTAATGCAACCAATATTTGTCGTTACTTTACGATATAGGTAGTTAAAATTAAAAAGTTACAGAATAGCGGCACTGGTCCGATCAGACCCGTAAATTTCATGTTGAATGAGGGACTTACAGCATGGAAGTGGGACACCATTTAATGTGTCAGTGTCCCCTATATAAAAGCGGAAACCAGTTTTTGCTAGTTTGTCCACTTTTTAATTTACAGGTACTTTAGAATTACCCGGTACCTAGAGCAGTTCCAGGCACGAATGGTTCGCCATGTCGTCAAGTATCATCCGATATTCGCGAACCACTCTGGATGTCGTATAGGCAATGAAGAAACCGCCACTCACTCCCGCATAGGACTTGAATCCATCAGTATAGATATCAAGAGTTGCAACCTCTGAGAAGGATGTTTTGTGAATTTTTTGTCCAAAAATTTAATCACAAGTTGTAGTCCCTTAATGTTAAAAGTAATTATTTCGGCTTATTGGAACACTTGCCGATTCATTTAATAAATTAATATACTTTATGTACTTTAATGTATTTTATTTTTAATATTAAAATCAGTAGCAGTTTTTTTTAAACAGAAAATTAAATTTATCTTCAGTTACCTATCACCCACCTCCCTAATAATCTTTATTGAACTTTTGGAAAGAGTTTTTTTTGTTTTCTGTAAAAAATTTACCTCCATTTGCAAACATTATCCGATTTAAATGTGTTAAGCCTTTAACATTTTTTCCCTCTTTAAAAATTTTGCAACAATAAATAATTAATGTCCATTTTTCTGTTTACATGCGAGTGTGTGTGTTTATGTTTCTGTATGATAGTGTTTGCTGCTATTTTCAACATCTGTAAAATAATGACATCCTTGAATGTAGAGACAAAGAAATGAACATTTGAACAGAACAAATAATTGACAGTATTAATTTAATACGATTAAGTAAAAGTATGTACTGTGATATTTAAGCATGATAATTAATACAACTTTGTATGCATTTGTAAGGATAATGAATACACATGTGCATTATGTGTCTGTGAGAGAGTAAAAGCCTAGTAGCTTACACATCCCAAACACACTTTCTCCCATTAAATGCAATAATCATTGCTTAATGTCACATTAACGGAAATATGTTGTTTTTAATGGATGATATGTACTTGAGGAATATGGTAAACATTGGCTACAGTTTTTTTGCAGTTAAATTATTTCAGAATTTAATAATTAAAACTTAAAGAAAACATATTTGGTCATTCAAAGAAATTGAATAGTAATTCAATCAAACAGAAGGAATTCAAAGCCACCAGTGCTTAATCGGAATGGATCCAAATTGTACATTACATTTAAAATACAAAGTAAATTAAATTTTTCATCAATAACCAATACATAACCAAACTACTGATACAAACATTAAACAATTTAGTTAATTTTTATTATTATTTATGGTTTTTCCTCTTAAACTTAAGAAAGCTATATTTTCCTTTATACCTTTTCCCCACCGAGCACTTAAAGTTATTACCACTAAAATTAAATGACCCTAAACATATTGTGGTTGTAACTCCCAAAAATTGAAATAATTTGTCAGACATCGCCAACAATATTAAGTTTGAAATTATCTTGGAATTTTATTTAAACCCCTTTTTCTTTTACCATAGAGGTTGAGAAAATTTACAACCATATAAATAGCTCGAAAACAGGAAATGCTTAAAGGGAAAATGTATTTAAAATCACACCCAAATTGACCATTCTCAATAATGGATCACATGATAATAATAATCAGAAAATCTAAGGGTAAAGAGAGAGAGAGAGAAGAAAAAAAATTAAGTCAATAACTTACTTTATCATAAAGAAGCAATAAAATATCCTTAACTATTATTGTGTGGGAAGTTGTTTTATCCTTTGCCAGCTTCATTTCCAATATTATATTTTTTCTTCTGTTTTTTTTATATAACTTGCCTTATTTTGATTTGATTTTTCCGGTTAAATCATAAAATAAAAAGGTTTTTTTCTTTTTATAAATATCTCTTTAAAAATTCTGCCTTAGAATGTAAAGAATATTTTGTTTTAAAAATCAACAGCAGTGGCAGAAGGTAGAACTAAGAACAGAACCAGAACAGGTGATTGGAATTCATAATGTGTAGCAAAATTTTTACGGTCAAGAATTTTTGCAAGCTGACTAAATAATTTCCTCTTAGTTCATTCATTCGTTTAAATTTTCTTACAACCTTTTGGGTTTTAAAAAAGGGACAAGTAGGAATCCCTTTTTGAAGGAATGTTCGGAATAAAGGATTTATTTTGTCTGCAAACCTTTACCCCCTCCCCTATTTTAACATTTTCTCTTTGGCTTGTTTGTGCATATTCTAATTTAATATATTTTTATGTTTTGTATTTTATTTTGTTGTACCATGTTTGATGAATTGCGAAATTGCCATTTTCATGGAGTGTTAGAGCGCAAGCTACCCATCACTCCATCTTCAAAGAAGCAAAATGAAATATTTCGTATAAAGACACAAATATCAAAAGAAAATTGTTCCCTTATTTTTGGAAATTTCATATGCGTAAACACACTTGTAGACATTTTTTCCATCAGCTACATGAACAGTTTGTTTTTTTCGGGGGAAATATGGAACATGGTTTTAAATCCTTTTTCTTTAGGCAACATTTGAAGGACACTTTTTTTTGAAAAGCTTTTGGTCTTAAATCAAAAATACTATTAGAATTTATTTACAAGGTTAAACATTGGTAAACAGTTTAAATCTCTATATAAGCTGTTTACTACCAAATAATTCAACATGATAAATTAAGACATATTACAAGCATCGTAATCTGTTATATTGATAGATAATCTTTTAACAAGAATAGCTCCAAATAGAAGCATAAAAAATGAGGAAAAGTGATTTCAAAACACTATGTTTGCTCTGTTTAATAATAACTTTTTAATGGGAAATTTAACATTGTTTACTAGATAATGCATGATGTAATTAGTTGAGATTTTGAGAAAAATTATATTTTACTTTTTAAAGTAAAATATAGAAATAGAATCTTCACATAGATCTTCGATTACAATGGCTTAAGCTTTCACCAAATAAAAATATTAAATGCTTAATGCAATACGAACACTCATTACTAGGTAATGCATGCTGTAATTAGTGTTAAAACACGAAAAAATAATGTTTAAGTTTTCAAAGGTTGTTAGCCAAGCAATTTTCAATCTGTTCTCGAATTGAGTAATTTAGAGAACCTATTTCAAAGCTGATCACTGCGATCATATATTGAGATTCCTAACAAAAGTTTCCATTACTATATACATACATATGTATGTACGTTTTAAAGCATTGATTGTTGGGTTACTTTAACTAATGCATATGTGTGGATATCTTTGTATGATATTTAAATCTTATTCCGTTTTTGTTTATTGTATTTTTTTTTTTTTTTTTGATTAAGGATTAAGTCCCTATAAAGACCACTACTTCTCTCTATCCCTTTATAATCATTAGAATATATTAAATTGAAATTAAAAACTGTTAACAAAATGTTACCATCATCATCATCATCGACAGCATCACACCCATCATCGTTATCATTAAGGAATACAAAACATTTTCCATTTGGGACCAAATCATTCTATCTAATCTAATCTTTGAAATATGTTGCTATTGTTAATGTATTTGTTGTTGCTGTTAACCTTGTCTAATAAATCTTGTTTTACCAAAATGAGGCAAAAAGAAAAATCAATTCGATTTGAGAAATTACTTAATAATGTGTTTTTTCTCTTCTTCCTTTTTTTAGCTTTAACTGTTCTTTCGTTAACACTGGCAGATGAATCTCTAGATACACGAGAAAATACAGATCTCACATTAAAATGTCGTTTCACAGAGCAATACGATGCTGAGGATTTCTCATTTTACTGGGCAAGATGGACGGCGAATCCGGTACAATTTGAAAATGTTGCCATCGGTGATGTGCAATTAAATTCAGGTTATCGGTAAGTTTTGAAATAAATAAATATTTATTTTTATTGTTCTTTGTGTTAAATTTTTGTAATTATTTTTATTTTATCTTTGTTGAATTTTTCTTTTTTTTGTTGTGTTATAAAAGAAGTAAACTAAATCAAAGTGAAAAGTATTAACGGTGTAAGATAGAATGTATTTGAAAAAGAAATGTTCTAGTCGTGCTTTCTTTTTTTTTTATTTTATATTTTTATTTGGATTATCATTAATTTATAATTGTTTAAAATTTATATCTGCTTTAAATTTATAAAACGGGTACGCTAAAGAAGTTTTTGTAGCATACTTTTAGGAATGACATAATAAATGTGAATATTCAATGTTAATCTGAAATAAACTTTCTGTACAATTTACATACATAAGTATGTATGTATATAAAACACAAGTAAGAATTTACTGTGCCTGCATGGCCGACCATATGATACCCTACACCAGTGATATTAGTGTTTAAGTGATGGGGGATAGGGTCAAATGGAGATTTTTGGAGTGATACGAGTACATTTAGCATATTTATGAGCTCAAAAACCCTATTCGGGGATACTGTTGTATGGGGCTATGCGAAAATGTGGACCAATTTTAACCATTTTAGTCCTTGGGTCAAAAGAAGAGTATGTGCCAAATTTCAGACAGACAGACAGACAGATGGACGGACGTAGGGACGGACATAGCTAAATCGACGCAGTAAGTGATTCTGAGCCGATTGGTATACTTTAACTCTTTCACATATAAGGGACACTTGTATCCCAAGATTTTTTTTTAATTTTTCTCGATTTAGAGCCTAATTTTGAGTTCACACCTATAGTGAATGGTTATTTTCAAAGAAAAATAAGTAAGTTTTTATCGTTTGATATCACTACATGCTAAAAAGGATAACGTCCTGCGATATTTTAGAAAACACTTTTTCCATTTTTCATCAAAAATTATCAATACACGTCAAAATAAATCGTGTGGTGAAGTCATATCCGTAAAAAGTCCAGCGGTTTAGTTTTGTGCGTAAATGGGTTAAGGATTTTATATCATCAGCACAAACGCATAATAGCCTCCCCACTATGGTGGTGTAGGGTATAATAACTAAATAAAAAATACATTAGTACAGGAAACTAACGGTGAATGTAATAAAATTTTTAATGACTTATTCCCTTTGTACTTACGAACAAATCTGGTAGCCAGATTTAACAACTCCTCCAAAATTTAGCTTAAGTTATTTAAAAACACATAAATATTATAATAGAGTAGGTTTGATTTTATTGAGAAATCACCGCTGTCCACATAAACTACATTTAAATGCTATTGATGCTAAACAGATGATTAAAATCGCCTAAAAATATGCCATTCATTTTATAGGAGACACATTAATAATAAAATATTTTATGACAATGTCATAAAAATAAACTAATAAAAAATCTCATTTACTTAAACATATAATTAACTTTCCAGCCTTAGTAATAAAAACATAATTTTTTCACAAACTAAATAAAAAAATAGAAATTCCAATATCATGTTCAAATGCCAGATTTTCCCCCTCAAACTCTAAATAATGTCATGTTATCATTAGAAAATGTCTTAGTTTTTTTCTTTTTCAATTTTAATTTTCTTTAATGTCATTTGAGCAAAATTTGATAATAAATAATTGATGATAAATTATGCTGCGATTATGAAACTAAAGTGATAACAAGGAAAAAATATTGCCAACCTTTTCATTACTTGATGAATTTTTAAATAAGTATTAAATATATTTTTTGCACATTTTTTTGTTAAATCATGTTTAAAAATTAGAAAAATTTATATGGTAGCAGATGAAATCAAATAAAATGCTATGATCAAGCAGTTTTTTGCTCATTACAGGTTTTAGTTTTCTTTTTCATATATAATTTTCTGTGGGTAGAAAGCAGAAAATCTAAAAAATATCATGATAATATTAGAAAACAAGAAAAATAAAATTCTTAATTAAAATTAAGTTGTAAAACAATTTAACCACAATTACTACAACTACAGCAAGAATGTCTTTTAAAGTCATTAACTTTACGCAAACTTTGTTGGTTATTTGGTAAATGACTGGATGACTGGTTGGTTGGCTGGTTGGCTGGCTGGCTGGTGTGTGTGGCTTAAATGGCTGATGTTGTTGGTTTGGTTGGCAGGTTAAATGCCTGGATAGTTTTTGAGTTGACTTGGTTGTTTGGTTGTTTGTGTGTCTGTGTTTGTTTGTTTATTTGTTTGGCTCGCTGGCTGGATGGCTCATTTGGCTATAAGTAGTTGCCTTGTCTCTTGCATACTTACCATACCGCATTAATATTTCATTTATATGCTACAACTGCATTTAGGAATTCTTTATTTATTTGTTTTTATTTTCTTTTAGTTTTTTTTTCATGTATCTTGGTATTTTATTTACAATTTTTCTTGGCAAAATGAGTTTAACATTTTACGTTTCTGTTTTAAAACTTAATAAATATCATATATTTTCTTTTATTTTCAATTTGTCGTTTGTTGTCTGCATAAATATTCTAAAAACCATAAATATTTTTAATAATACTACTTGTGGTTTCAGCATACTTTTACTAGCTACTGGTTTATTTCATTTCACATTTCTCTAAAGGGAAAATATTTCAAAGTAATTAAGGTAGTAAATAATCTAAAACCATAATTTTTATAAACACAACAAATATTAAGAAAATTAAAACTAAATCGACTTTATCACATAAATAGTTGTGGTTGATATAAGTTTACACATATTTTTAGTTTGAAAAAAAATGGGAAAATTAACCGCCCACTTTTAGGGGACTTAAAACAATTTAAATTTAATTTTCATTTTCCAGTGTATAACTTTAGGAGTAACTAACTAAATCATATAATTTACTTAATATTTAACTCGTTTAAATGAAACTGCATTTATTTTATTTTCTTTATAATTTCAAATTTAATGTGTGTCCTTTCAACAAACACAGCTGTTATTATTTGCTTTGTTATTCAGTTTTTTTCTTCACATAACTGCTATAATCCGTAAGAGACAGAGTGAGAGTCCGGTTTTCATTTATTTATGCATGTATATCCCCAATTGTAGCTAAATAATACTTAAAAAATCTCAAAAGCAAAATAAAAATACATTCATATATATGTAGTAAAAAAAAAACAAAATAGCAAATACAACACTAGACTAATAAAAACAAAAATAATAATAATATTTACAAGAAAACCACTGTAAACAACCGAAACGGACAGAGCAGCTAAAACAGCAACTCATACATTTGTAATGCAACAAAACAACAGCTACAGGAAAAAAGCTAATCTCTGTAAAACACAGTAACATAAACACTCACACACACATATAACTGAAGTCCTTTAGGGATCTTTTGTGTATTAAACTAAACTGGGGAAATAAGAAGAAAAAAGCAAAAAACTAAATACTAACAGCAAATGCAGCTTATAAACAGGAATCGTTGTAGTAGCATTTTGCTTTATACTAAAATCGTTTGCTGTTGCAATGGCTATTGCTATTACACTTGCCGTTGCATAGCAAACAGCCAAGTGTATATTATGATAAACGTTACTAAATGAGCATTTTTCCCTTAACAAAGTCTGGTACTGTAGACTCTAGTGAATACAGACTGGAAGTTCGTTTTTTATATACATATTTCTTGTTGGAGTACAACCATCAACACCCTAGCACAGTGTTGGCTCTGATACTGTAAGACAAGCTGAAAATGGTTCTCCTATGAACACACAATCTAATACAACGACTCTGACATAAATTGCAATTCTTTTGTATTGAGTGTTAAGAAGTTTTATGAGTAAATAAAACGGTTTAAGTGCAATATTGATATAAAGAAGAGGAAGAATATAAGAAAAAAAAACGGGGATTGCAAAAATGCTTAACTAAAATGAACACAGAAACGACAGAGTTTATATAGAGTTAAAGAATTGTTTAAAAATTAGATTTAATTTAATATTTAATGTCTAATGAATAATTTTCTTAGTAAAAATATGCATTTTAAACATTATTAAGCCTAAAAGTATGTTTTATTTTTGTAAACAATTTTAAGAGAAAATTTGATTCTAGTTAAGTTTAAACTGTATTTAAATGTAATTTTTTAATAGGAATAATTTCATAAACTTTAACTTATTCCAATTATTTGTAAAATAAATTATGGTATATTATTTATACCTAGAAGTATGCTATCTAAATTGCTAAAAAATTGTCTTCCTTGTGTTCTAAAATTTACTTGTCATGTTATTTGAATGAAATTTCTAAAGAATTTTAGCAATTTTTTAACAATTTGTATTTTCTTAACAAAAAAATTTCCTTTCAAAATACTTTTTTATTATTATTATTATTATTTTTTAACACATATTGCTCTCCTTAAAGTAGACAATAAAATGTTGAATGCTAAGTATATTTAGTATGAGTTTGTTGTTTTGTGTTTTTTGAAATATAATTAAGTTGTTAAGCACTTATGTATTATACGTTAAAAGGAAAACGAATTAAAAGAAAAGACTACAGCAAAACACACGGTAAAACACAAAGCAGAATAAGAGGGAAAAAACAAAGCCATCTTTACTTGAATAACCTTTAATTTTGTTTGTTGTATTTTTTTTCATATCTCATTTTTTCCACATATACTCTTTGTTCTACATTCACTACTCATTCATGGCTCATCTCATGTCAGCCACAAACAATACCCTAAACGTTTCTTATTGTCCATAAGTGAGTTTCTGTTAAAGAGAAGAACACACACAAATTCACACATACATTCAACTATACATGAACAATTTTAAAGCATACATTGAGGCTGCAATTCACTTAAGTTTAGTGCAATCTTTTTGTTCTTGCCATTTTTTTAAGTTTTTTATATGTATTTTTTATTATATATATAAATTTTCCAGAATATCCTTGGTACATGAATTGAAGCTTATATATAAGTTTCTTTTGTTAAGAAATAGAGAGAAAGGAAGAGAGGGTAAAAAATTAAATACAACAGCATAA